GGAGACTTGGGATGCATAAGAAGCTGGGAGGGGATACAGCCTGGACAGCTGACCGTAACTGGCCAGAGGAGTATCACAAACCATATGGTGTCATGCTTAACCTATAGAGCTGGGGGAAAAGTTGACCAGGGGCAGCTGCTTGGAGGCTGGCTGTTCATCACTTGGTTGGTCGAGAGCAATTTGTTTTCATTTGTTCTGTTTGTCTTTCTTCTGTTTTATTTTGCTCTCTCTTCTTTTTTTTTAATTTATCTTCCTTTTCATTACATTATCGCTATTATTGTTGTTGTTATATTATTATTAATATTATTGTTATTGTTACTAAATTGTTTTTACATCAACCCACAAGTTTTCTCACTTTTACCCTTCCAGTTCTATTCCCTCTTCTCCTGATGGGCAGAAAGTGAAGGGGCTCCTGGGTGGTGCTTAGTTGCCAGTTGGAGTTAAACCACAACAGTACCTCTGGAGCTGACCTGGACCAAACTCTCAGCTTAAGCAGGGCCATCCCTAGATCACTTGCCCAGGACCGTGCCCAGACAGCTTTTGATATCCCCAGGGTGACAGACTCCACAACCAACCTGTGCCAATGCTTGATTAATACTGCCCTGGTAGAATTTCACAGCCCAGCATCTCTTCATCTTTCAATCACAGGATTGCAATTTCAGCCACATCTCAGCCCAGCAAGGGAACTGAGCTGCTGCCTTGCCTGTGTGGGATAGCTGGTGGGTCACCTGATGAGTCAGAAAGGTGCTTATGCCACCACAGGACACAATGTCCCATTGCTTCCCATGTCACCTTCATATCACATGACTGTGCAGGTTATATCTATCCAGAACACACCACAAACCACAAAATTCAGAAGTTAATAAGTTCGATTTTCTCTATGTGGAAAGAAAGCAACAACTCAGATGGAGCATGATGACTTTAATTCATAGATATGTTTCTGTCATCTCAGGACCATCAGAGCAGCATCTCATGGTAGATGTTTAAGAATCGTCATTTCCGCCAGACTTTCATCTCTTATGAGAGGGGGAAAAAAGTGCATGCTAGTGCATGGACATCTGTAAGCACAACTGCAGCATCTATCCCTAATCTCCACTCAAGTATGAGTCAGTCAAATGATCCACCTTGTCTTTGCTTGTATGCTTTTGTCACTACATGGTTTTTACAAATACTGTTTTATTAAACCTTTTTTATCAAGCAGAAGACAGGAGCTTGTTGATAATGTTGTCCATGTCAGGATAAACCTGAACACATTATTTGTCAAACGGTGAGGCTTGGCTTTTCTGAAGGAAGCTGTCAACAGCTGTCATGAAAGCTGTTTGAAAGAAACCGCTATTTGCCTATAAAAATTTTGTCAGCAATGAAGAATCTACTTTAAAACCACAAATAACAATCAGCTCACCTTCCAGTTCCTGCTAGAGTTTTCCTATTTAAAGCATACTGGATTAATTTCTAGCAGCATGCAAAGAGCATAGTTTGTTTCTTTGTGCTCTTCTTTAGCTCATTGTTGATTCAGAGAACTACACCACCGAGACCAGGGCACTGAGAATGAAGAAACCTTATATTAAAGCAGATGTAAATTCTTGTTTAATGAAAAGAAGTGGGAATTTTGCCATTTACTTCAAACTCCTCTGCTCTGATCCATAAGAATTTGAATCTAAACACAAAAATATAGCTCTAAAAGTTTGGACACCAAGAAGAACAAGATAAATTAGTTGTCAGCAGACGTGAGATATTACATATTTTTTGGCTCTGTTTGGGATCTTTTGGAGCCGAGAACTTTGATAAGTATGCTTACTATTTTACTTTATCCAGGAAACAATCTAGTTTTTCATTTTTCCTTCAAATGTTCAGAAGTGATTTTTACAGTCGGTAAGTCCACAATAAGAAGGATGAAAAGTCAAGCCCATTGTGGTGTACCTTGGATGAAAGATTAGCAAGGATCAGCAAAAAAATTTTAAAGAACATATCAGACTGTTTATTCTATAATAATTCATAACTGGAAGTTAACTTCTTCTATGAAGAAATCAAGAAGTACTTCTTCTTATTATAAATGGTTTCTAGTATCTCTGAATTTTCTTCCTGTCACATGGACTGGTTGAAAGATCCAGCCAGTGTAACTCGTAACACAGATTAATTGTGTCATCTGATACATAAAATCTAGAAAAGAATTTGTTCATCTTGGCTTCTGATGACTCTTGTACTGGTCATGTCATCTAACTTGAGGTGGGTTTTTTGGTTTTTTATATTTCACCAAGATGCAAAATAGAACCATCAAGTTTCGCCTGTCACTGGCACCCAGATTCCATTGAAGTCACTTATTTTCCTGTCTGGAATTTACCCAGAAAGCAGGAATACTTTTGTCTTTCCTGCAGATGTCTGTCTATCAATCTGTATCAATCACTATCAATCTGTACAGCTGACAGTGATTCCACATGCTTGTAAAAAGCATGCTTGTAGCTGCCTATGGTAGTTATTTGCTTTGTTTTGACTAGCTCCATTACTTATTTTCTTATGTCTTGCAGTCAGAGAAAAGTAAAATTGCTGATAAACAATACTACAATGAAGTGTTCAGAGTTGTGAATTAAAGAAGCTGGAAGGGAGGGGGAAATAACAGAGGGGAATTTTATCATATATCTTTGACCTGAAGCAATAATAAATGTGAAGTCTGTATAATCATGGGTGATGTTTTTATATACGTGTCATATTTTAAATTGGTTTGGGAGAGAAACACATAAAATTGATTGGCTGGTGATGTGGCAGTAATTATGCAAATAGAGACACTCGACCATAAAACACTTTAAAGGGGAGAAGGTAGTTCACTAACAAGTAAGCATAAAAAAATGTGATTATTGCATCTGTCCTAATGCCCTGATGTCTCTCCTGCCAAAGCATGAAAGCAATGGATGTTGTGTAACAAAATTAAAACTTTATAAAATGTCAGATGAAGGTCATAAATAACTTTTCCTTATAAAAAACATGTCTTTAATTGTCAACTGCGTCTTTCTTACAGTTTTGTTCAGTCTTGGGCAAAGTTCAGTTTTATGAGACCAACCTTGTGTAGCAAACACACCTTTGCTCTGCTGCTTTACTGCAGCGTTAATGTTTCGTTTGCCTTTGGGGGCGGGGGAAGGTAAGGGCTGTTGCTGTTCTAGCCTTTCCCTTATGCTGCTCAAATGAGAACTCTGAGGTAATAGTTCATGGAATCATTCCATGAATTATTCTCAGTTCCTGCGATAGTAAGCAATGGCAGAGTGTTCCCTTGCTGCCCACTGCACAGTCCCTGTATTCTTCAGCTGCATGAATTGTGGTATAAAATGGTGGATGCTTGAGAAGGTGGGTAGGGAAATTACACACTTCTTCATCCTGATCCTAATTGAAGCCTCAATAAAAATAGTCTGATTTTTTTTTCTTGCCACTTGCTTTTGTCCAAGATGTTTTGACCCTATCCCGGGCCACATGTATCTCTATATGTCATCATGACTCCAAACAAACTCAACCCCAGTGTACATTTGCATGTACCAAATGCCCACGGCCCTTCCTCAGCATGTGGACTGCATGCTCTTGAGGGATCCAGGTTTTGAGGTATTAGAGGCAGTCATTTATCAGAAGGGGCTTGGCAAGCTTGGATCAGCTGTCCAGAGTATCTTCAAAAGTTGACCTAGGAACCATCAAATGAAGCTAATAGCATCAGGGTTCATGGCAAGCCAAAGGCGGAGGTTGTTCTTGCAGCAGGTGCTAGACCTGTGTGGTTTCTTGTCAAAAGACACTGTGGATGCACATGATTTACATGGGCTCAGGGAGGAACAAGACAAGCTCTGGACAACAGATCCATTGCAAGCTAATATGTAAACAAACAGCAGGGGCTAGGAAAGTCCAAAACATTCTGAGCTGAAAAGAGTGTAAGGGAATTAAAAGAAAGCATACATACTTGTCCTGTTCCTATGCTTCCCAAGCATGTAGCCAGTTTTTTGTATGCAGTTTTATAGATGGAGTATTGGACTAGAAGGATGTTTGTTAAATGCTTTTTTGTCATCTAGATAGGACATAATAAATATATAAATAAGAGGGATTAAATCTTGGACCTTTTAGTCTCTCAAGTAGAAAATCACTCATACCTCCATTATTTCACAACTAGTTACAGAAACTAGTTGAAACCAAGACTGAAAAGGTGAAGGTGAGGAATCTCAGCTGCTCTCAGTGCTTTTATAAGGCAAGACCATAATCATGCTAAAAATGCTCATGATTATATAGTCCAATAGTCAACATGAAACCAATAGATGTTGATTTCTCCCATGTGTAGAAACGGTGATTTTAATACTGTATGGTGAGATCAATAAACCATAAAGCAGCAAACACCATGTCATGACATGCAAAAGTCTGTCTGCTCTGGGAAACCAGGAGCTCCTGCCCTGTACAGCTTTCAAGGTGACAGTGCATATACATTTATTCTTTTTTTCTTATTTCGTTATCATGCAGGTTTCTGGAGCCCTTATCAGGCATGAGGTCACACAGACAGAGAGAGCCACAAGGGTAACAACTTTCATGGCTCCAGTAAACACAGTAGCTCGGTGTTACCAGGTGAGATGCACAGGACTTGGTAAGGCCATGCTTTTTAGCCCTATTGTTGTCATCTGCATTTAGTCCAGTGTCCATCTGGACTAAGAGAGAATTAGCTTAGGAAAGATATATTTATTTTCTGACACCAACAGCCAATATAGTCAGGAGATAGTCCTTCAACACAGTACATATCAGACACCAAAGAAAAGGCATCATTTCAGCCCATGTCCTGCAGCTAGTCCAAACACAGAAGCTAATTCCTGATGGAGTCATTTAGCACTTAAAGGTAACTAGTAGGGAAGTGAAAAAAAAAAAAAAAGTCCATTTCTGATTTAAAAGCAATGTTTGAATCTGGTACAGCAGAAACAATAGCCTGTTTCCCCAAGTGGAGATCAGGTATATTTATTTTACAGAAATATATGGGTTTGTGACAATCAAAAGCAGATGTTCATTAACAGGCGGGATGTAGGTAGGTTTCCAAGGCATAAAGCATGAGGAGAGCAAAGAGGCAAAACATTCAATCTCCTGCCTTGCACCTGAATCTGCCCAGCCCCTTAAAACAGTTTTCAACCATGCTTTTTGATTTTCATTTTTTTTAAGTTACAGCTATGTAGATGCTGTTTCTGCTAGCCTTGCAAAACACATATTTCAGAGATCATTTTGTTTCCATTTCAGGATATTTCTCACTTGCTTGCCTTTAACTTGACCTAGGATACAGAGCTAGATTTGAAATCTGATGGCTGCAGATGTGCAGAGCTGAAAGACTTCTTTTATAAACCCACTGCAACCTTCAGTCTGGAGCTGAGTTTCTTCAGATCCCATGTTTGGTACAGAGGGATCCCTGTGGACATGTTATTCCTTATATAGCTTTTTTGTGTCTCCTAACAGTTTGAAACTCCCTGACTGGAGGTGAGTGATGTTGCACTAGACCAGGGCAACCTTATTTCAAGCAGGAACTGTCAGCAGAATCGGTGCAAGGTCAGCCTCTCCACTTGTTCCTTTCAGGAAACTACTCCTCTTACAGACACCCTTACACTAAACAAACCACCTCAAATACATGTGCTGCAGCATTCCTCCATATGCTGGCGTCATGAAGACTGGCAAAAATGCCATGGCAGCAAATGTTAGCAGACTTCCAGACCAAATCAACTCCCATTTTCCCTTGTACAAGGACAACGCCAAGATAACTTGCCAGTTGGCTGTGTTTCTCTTCCCAAACAGTGCGGCAGAGTATCAGCAAAAAAAAGTCTCAGGAGTGTTTCTGCCAGGGAAATTGACTGATGGAACTGGTAACTGGATCCAACACACCGGCAAACGAATTATTTTTATCGACTGACCCCGAGTACGCCTATAAGATCATGGTTTTTAATTTTTGTCTGCAAGGGTGTCTGAATCGCAGTTCCAAACCAAACTGGGGTCTACATGCTGCAGATCAGTCACTTGCGTGCTTTAAAACTTAAAAAAAAAGTCAAGAGAAACACGGTGGATTTTGGCTTGTGAAAATTCCCCCAATGGCACACTGTCCTTCATCAAAAAGCCTGAGACATCTCTGTCCACCCACCCAAGTGGTTCACGCTCCCAGAACATGCGTGGTCTCAGACCAAGAAGGCTGGTTGCACATTAGAAAAATGTGGCCTACGAGTTATCCTCAGTGGAAATGCTGATAAGCCCACCTTGCAAAACAGCTCTGAAGAGGAAGGGACTCAGCACCTTAGCTGCTGCATTTCAGGGATAATGGTCACAGTAGCAGAATCCTAGTCGTAACTCCTGCACAAATCTTCCAAACCTGTGCAGTTATACAACATGATACCACTAACATAAAGATAATAATAATATTGACTATCTGAAGCAATAATGACCAGGTTGAGTCCTGGTTCTCATCAGCAGTGGCTCCTGGGTCCCTGGTACCCTGAGAGGGAGTCGGCAGAAAGAAACTTCAGGACAGATGAGGGAGATGAGGGAAGGACTCCAGGGACTCTGGTGGGCCAAGGAGCTCCTCAATGTCCCCCTACACATGGTGCAGAGAAGTGTTTTGGAAAGGTCTGGGAGCAATGGGCATGTAGGTTCCACTCCTGGCACAGACCCTGAGGCCATATGAGTGGTTAGCAGGTCTATCATCCACATACACAGGGGATGCAGGAGCTGGAATCTGAGCCATGGAGAGATCTCTGCACCCCCCGCTCTGCTCTGCTTCCAGTGCCTGATCCCTGCACTACAGACCATGGGACAGGGCTAACAAAGTTAAAACAGGTATTTGTCACCACAGACCTTATTTCACTGTGTTATGGTAAGTCACACAGAGCAGTCTTTATTTCCCAGGCTCAGCATTCAGAGCAAACACACTGCTGTAATCTTTAGCAAATACATTTTTGCTTGCACAATAAATCTGTTCAGAAATCACACATTTCCATTCAAACTAGTCACTAAAGAGTCACGTGTTGGGGCCTATCTCTGCTTTGTGCTGACACTGCATGGGCAGAGAATCACGTGCCTTCATGAAAACATATCCCCAGTCTTGAGGCAGGGCTTGGCTCAGGGTCACATAAGACTCATCCATATTTCATATCATGTTTACTCTTCTTTCTTCACCAACAAGTCTTGAAATATGTCACTTCCGTGCCAGCAGACCGACACACACCACAAATATGTGCCAAGTGGCTGTATCTATGCTGGGAAATAAAATGGGCCAGGGAACAGTTAAAGGAGGAGTACTGCGAAGTACAGCCCGTGTTCCTCTAGCTAAGCTCTCACCCTCCAAAGCAGGGGGGGCAGCAATCCAAACCAGGAGCAGTCCCTGGCCCAGCTGCTTTTCCCTAACCATGGGCAGCAGTTGGGAAAGTGTAGGTGGTCCCAACCAAAACCATGCCAAATAGTAATATGAGCTGGCACACACCATTGCCTGTGTCCTGGCACTGGTGAGTCCACCATCGGGGACACCATCTGAGACCCAGAAGGTGCTCAGTAAATGTCTTCTCTATGAATGACTCCTGTGAAATTTTAGGGAAACTACAGAGGCTTTCTAATCCCTGTTGATCCATAAAATGGAGATAACAAACCCCACTGTATGTCTCAGCAATGGAGGGAGGACAGAGCATTTTGCATCTTAAAAGTAATGGGAAAACATGAGAGCACCCTGGCTGTACAAGTAGGTTTATCCCATTGTGTTTGATAATTTTCATCTGAACAGAGAGCAAATACTGATTTAAGTGAGTAATTCATAATCAGAACAGAACTTTGGTTATTGCTTTAAATTACAAATAAAGCCAGTCATCTGCATTGGAAATAGACATCTTTGAGATAAACAGGAATACATACCCTTAAAATATACAGTTAAAAATATTTTGCCATATTCTGAAATGAAGTGTTCTGCATTTTATTTCTTTTTGATATATATCTTTTTTTTTCTTCTTTCATTTGTGTGAGTGAAAGATGATTATCCATTCTATTTTTATGACCTACTTATTGCTGCTATGCGGAATCATATCGCTACGTGAACTTCAGTAAAGACAGACACAACTTTCTTGTATTGAAGAATCTAATAAATGGGGTGGACAAAATTCAGGGATTGATTTTATACAGTGCTGCGGATTTAAAGATTTTTTTCCAATCCCTCAATTGTCCAGAAAATATATGGGAGACAAACGTGTAGCTGGGAAGAAACAAACCAAAATGCATAGGATGGAACAGAGTGGGAGAGGGAGAAAAAAAGGGAAGGAGTGGAAGAAGGAAGGAGGCAAAGCAAGCAAAAAGAAGGAACCACCTGGGTTGATGTTCTCTTGCTCACTTATGCACCCACATGCCACTACAGCATTCACAAGCCAGCAGCTCCACGGGATGCAAAGCACCCCCAATTTTCAGACTTCAGTGCTGAAGATCATCCAAATTTTGCAGCCCATATGTACAGCTACATAGAGATATATGTTTGGAATGCCTAGTTTAGCTATAGATCTTCCAAACTACCTGGCCTTCCCCTTATATATTAGATTTCCATTAGATTTTGCAAATTCTGAGGTATGAAACACTTTCAAATGCATATACTTGATGGGTGTGGGAAGCCATAAGTGTAAAACTACATCTTCTGCTGCCATGGGTTCACAAAACCGCAGTGATGCTAGAAGATGTAGAATGAACACTTGATACCAGGTGAGGATCAGCTGCAAAACATATTTTTCCATGTGGAAGAGTTAACTGGAAAGATGGTTAAAGAGCAATATTCCATGACGTCAGTGGTGTTTATGACATGTCCTTTAATTACCCTTACCAGTAAATCAGTGTGTGCACTTTAGTACCACAAAGTAGGGCATACTTCAGAGAAAATAATAGCTCTGTTGATTAGCTAATGAATATGCTATCAGAGAACTTGAGGAGCCTTTTCACTACTGCTCACTTTAAATAATAATGCTAATTAAAAACATACTGCAGGCCTCAAGTACACTGCTTAACTTTTCAGACAGTGAATCTCTCACATTCATTCTTTCAGTTATCTGCTCTGTATTTATTAGTAGAAGGATGTTGTCCTTTTTCCTGCCTACATGCTTAATTCATAGGAGCGTAATAGTATACACAGAGCAGAGGAGTGAATCTGTTCTGTGATCTTATCTGTGTCTAGAAAATGAACCTCCCTTCTCCATAGGGCCAGGGAAGCCCTCTCAGGATGCACACTGTCCAAGCCTGCTGACTGAGAGACAGCCTCGGTGTTCATGTATCAGGGGCCATCCTGCAGCTGAGGATGACAGCCAAAAAATACAGTGTTGGTGGCTTCCTCTTGCCCCCATTCACCTGCTGATGAGGCTGAAGACAGCATGGCTGATGAGGTTAGGTGATTGAGAGAGCTCAGATAGTCACTGCTGTCTCTCCCCAGTGCTTTTACCTTGTCTGCTTACATAGCTAAGTCCCCTCTCTGCTTAGAATGATTTTACCTAAAAGATCATTTAATTTGGGCTATATTTCCTTTACACATCCCTAAACTCAGACTTTCTGGGCCAGGTTATGCCCTTCTGGAGGACTCTCTTTTGGGGGCAGTTGTCTTCAGGACAGCATGTAGCCACTGTGTCTGTCAGTGTCTAAAAGTATTCTCAGATGCAAGCAAGGGAAGTGCAGAACATGCCAAAATTACTGCAAAATTACTGCAACAAGAAGTCTGGCAAATTATAAATTTCCCTTAACTCCACTAAGAAGTTTGCTATCAATAGAAGAGACAACCAAAAATTCATTTTCTCAACCAAAGAGGTTCTGCAAAATATTTGTATTCTTGTCATAGAAGCCTGACTGTAATGAAAATGTTGTTTTGTTGGTTTTTTTTAAACCAGATACTTTCAACTCATGGAATTAGAACAGCAAATTAAATATCTTCAAAAACTTCTGCTGAAAAGATTTGATCTTCTGATCACACTACAGCTTCTGGTTCATCCTGCTTTTTCTCTGGCGCTGCATCTGTCCTTAATCTTAAATCTGAAATCTTCTCCCTGGAAAGGTATATTCCCACTGCCTTCTGCTGCAATGCTTTTTATTAGCAGAGCTCCATCTGACCCTTACTACCTTGCTTCCTTTCCACCCACGCTGAGTAGATAGCACACACATTTTTTTTAAACACGGGGGTATCCTTTAAACTGACCATTTTTGCTCAAAACCGAATTTCTGAGCCTGAAGTGCAAGTTCTCTCAGCAGCATCCCAGAGGAGCACCGCTCTCCTGCACCACCACCTGGGTGCTGGGGATGGGAGTATGACATCTAACGCCCCAACAGCAAAGGGTTAACATATCCTCCCCCAGGTACAGGTGGTAGTCAGGGCTTCTGATGGCCAAGATTGCCTGATAGCTCTGGCACCTGGCAAGCCCCTGAACCACAGACTGGCCAGCTCAAACTGCTTGGGAAAGCTGGCTGAAGCCTGCCCTGAATTCCTCTGCCTTTTACAAGGCTCCTCCCAATGACTGGGGCTTGATCTAAGTAGCTGCCTCATTAATTACAAAGGTGTCAAACTTGCCTTTGTTGCTAACACAGGTTTCACCTCAAACCAGGCTACTTGCTGCTTCCCATGTGCTT